AATTGTGGAGTTTTTTAAGTACCGCTAAGAAGAGTAAACAAATGCTCCACCGCCCTCTCCCCCCCCCCCCAAGGGAGTGTGGAGCTGGGCCTGTTTTTCTGGCAATAATTTTAACATCCGAAGAACAAAAGAGTGTTGATTTTGAGCCATTTGATTAAACATAAGGGAAGGAGCTTTAAATTGTCTTTTCCATCTTGTAGACAGGTTTCTCCAATGTAAGAATTACCACAGTCATTAAATGTAACTCTTACAAGGATACTGAAGTGCCCTTGTCAACAAGTTTGTGCGATGTAATTTGACCTAGTTTTCTTGCATGTATGAAGGAAAATTTCACCTCAAAATCCGTGTTTTATTCTTTAGTTGTTTTTAATCAAATCATTTGGACAGCGTGTGAGGATATGTGTTATAACATAATAATAAAATGTTGTTGTTTTTTGAATTGTCGATTGTATCTTCAGGTCGTGATTCATTTTCTAGGGATGACAACGTTTTATTTATGACTGTGATAAAGTTTAAAAACATGGATTTTGCAATAATAATAATAATAGTAAAGGCAATGTTTCAGTACTTTAGACTGTCGAGTAGATAAGTGCTTTAGGGCTTGGCATGGTTTTCTGATTAGGGCACTCGACTCGCAAACTGAAGGTCGCGAATTCGAATCCCCGTTGCCGAACATGCTAGTCCTATATGTTTGCCAACTGGGCTAGCCACCCGTGTGTAAAAATTCTTGACTTACAAAAAAGTTGGCCAACTCCAAACTAGTTGAGATTAAGGCCATAACGGATAAGAAGAGTGTGTATAGTTGCTTTAAGTGAAGTTAAAGAAAAATGGGTTGATAAAGGGATTTCACGTAAAGCTCAAGACTTGATTTACTGGTGATTGATAACAGAAAAAAGTTGCAAAAGTTCTATAAAGCTTTATAAACAAGGCTCATTTTATTCGAAGGAATAAAAAATTATCAAGTTGCACGACAGCTGTACAGTAAAAGGTTAACGTCCAGAATTATCAAGTTGCATTACAGCTGTAGAGTAAAATAAAGGTTAATGTCCAGAATTCTCAAGTTGCATTACAGCTGTAGAGTAAAATAAAGGTTAATGTCCAGAATTCTCAAGTTGCATTACAGCTGTACAGTAAAGGGTTAACGTCCAGAATTCACGACAGCTGTACAGTAAAAGG